GAGACATACACAAACAATACAAGGAGAAGAAAGTAAGCAGAGCAACAAGCAAATAATTGTTCTCCAGTAAGTAGTCTTAGAGTTTTCCCTCAAAGAAAAGAGTCCTGGTGCCAGGAGATGAAAGAAACCAACTGCCATCCTGTCCATAAAAGGAGAAGCATACTTCACGCAGACTCACACTGACATCGACTTGACAAACTTTTCTTTGGGATAATGTCCTGGTCAGAGTACAGAGTACAGCCAGTGCAGTTCAACAAACCCATTCTTTGAATAATAACAAATCAATCACACACACTCGGAGAAGATAAACCCAGGGGTTCATTACAGACAGTTTTAACTTGTCCGTCCCCTCTAGAATGAGCATGGGCTGATATTGAAGGGTGCTCCGATCAGGATATTTGGAGCCGATCACCGATTGTCGATCACAGGAGGAAGAATTTGCCAATACTGACACTGATCTATTTGAAGCCTTCTTTTTATCATGTAGAATTATTTATAGGCATGCTCCAATCAGGATTTTTGCAGACATTAATTCAGGGCCTGAATATTTTTTTTTTTTTAAATGGGGGAAATCCCCGCTTTAGGTGACTCTTGTGGGGTGGGGGTGGGGGGGGTGGGGGGCACTCCACTTTAAGACTGAATGCACGGATCCAATATAAATGTTACACATTCGTTTTCTTTTTTAACTGTTTACGTTTACTTAAGACAAAACTGAAAAAAGAGCATTTAAGACATTTAAACATTTAAGAAAAAATGTTTATGTGCATACTCAAAACGGCGATTTTGTTCATCTATGTGTATTTTGACCAATTAAGGGCAATTTATTGCAATTTGGTACTCGCAAGCTGTTTGTGAGGTGGCTTTATGTGTTCTCGCTTTGAATGTGCATGAGCGCACCATTTCTAGGGAAAGCAGTTTAAACACCGGCAAGACTTGATGCAACTAAATCATGTGCGACCAACTGAGAAAGTTGGTAGCACCAGTGCAACCAGTGGAAAAGTAGTCTGGAGCCGTGTGAGCGAGTAACCCAGTCTGCTTTGGAGCATAATTTTGGAAGCAACAGCAAGGGGCCTAGTTGACCTTTAAGCAGGTATTGGCTTCATTTGCCCTTGTCTTCATATACTGTGAAAGATTCAAGAATGCGGTGTTGAAGCACTGTGCTCTTTAGCCCAATGAATCAAAACCTAAATCTAAATGATTTTCTCCAAATAAATAAATATGTCATTCGCTAACCCTTCTCCTTCGGGGAATATAAAAAAAAAAACTGCTATTTTTCAAGCGCCTTCTCAACTTGGAAAAGAAACCCAAAGAAAAGTGTGTTACATTATCTCCATGGCTGCCATTAAAACAAACATTTTGAAAGGGCGTCCCCACCTTCCACGATTCCATTAGGATTCAGAGTGGACCACTGAGCCATCTCACATCACACAAACATGGATCCAATTAAAAATAGGACTCTTCGCAAGAGATAATCGAAACAAGCTGGAACAACCTGGAATGGATACGACACCCCACCACAAATAACTTAAATACATAAAAATTTGCCCACAGGCCTTTTATCTTTCTCTGATGATCCAAGTACTGAAACTTCACACTTCAGCCAACGGCTGATGTTCACAGACATGCAGGCCCAGAAACCTTCATTGAGGGAATGAAATCAAGTATATGATTTGTCTAATAAAGATAAGCAACTGATGTGATGTAGCCAAACAATCTGACATCCCTTTAATTAACAGAGCTAATAATCTCTACAAGCACGTAACCCTGACTCCTTTTTCACTCCTATCCTTCTCTCTCTAGCACTGGTACAAAACCTATGAGCTACCTAGGACAGCATTTTTTAGGCATCATGGGCTCGTTCCCAACGCAAACTATTCTGAAAGGTAAGAGAGTAACACTCGTTACAAAGACGTATGTTCAATGTTCAAGTTCAATTTCCATTTACTTCACTCTAAACTTTAAGTCATGGACATACTTTTCTAATATGACTACATGAAGATGGCATAAAATACGCTTTTGAAACCAAGGGGAAGATCAGACAAATAAAAAAAGTGACTTGTTGCCTGTTCTAATAGGCAGCATTAGGATCACACCAAACACGAAGGCTGTTACCGAAGGCAGCTAAATCATGTTGCTTTGTTTAGCCAAATTCAAAGACACCACTGCACAGGGACGACGTGCACAGGAATTTTGAGGGGCAGTTGCTCTGATAAATAAAAAAAATAAATAAATTATCTATATTGAATTGACAGATGGGGAAAAACTCGCTTCTAATAAAAACAAAACGCTTAGATTTCGGGAAAAAATAAAATCCTTTTTTAACCTTTTGGCTTCCCGTACATTCAGTTGTGCTTCTTGCTCGTATTCAGTTCTGATGGTACGTATGGTAACTGGGCAACTACACATGATTTGTAGTATGATTGCGTAAAGGGAACAGGAATTCCGGTAGGGAACAGAATCGACTGCTACACCGGTCGCGTGCAGCGCTGCAGCCACGTTAACAGAGTTTGCCCTTCCCCTACTGACTTTCACTTTCGGTGCCTGAATGGAAGTGAATGAGGCTTTGCGAATTTCTTTTTATCTAGGCATAAGTGAAATTCTGCATCCATTGTACGATTTATTTATTTATTTATTCCCCCCTCGGAAGGGCAACGTGAGTCGAGAAGGGCATATGGGCAGTTGCCCGGGCAACCTGAGCAACCTCCCTGTGCACATCCCTGCCACTGCATATCGTTTAAAAAGAAGCTCCAGAACGCACTTAGTGGAAAGCTTTTAACTTTCTATTCATCAAATGCAAATGTATCCCATTTTCCACTAAAATATTAAGCAGCACAAAAGTTTATTGAGCAGCAAATTAGAATGATTTCTGAAGGATCATTTCTGATGGCCTAATGATGCTGAAAATTCAGCTTTAGCATCACAGACATAAATTACATTTTAAGAGATTAAAACATTAAAAAATATTACACATCCCAAATTATAAACTGCAGAATAAATTGACTTTTACGTAATATCTATTCATATAGTTTTATGCTTTTTTTTAGAGGATCACATCATTAGCTTAGCAACATGCTAACAACAAACTACTGAAATCAGTTAGTAGTCTATTCTCAGTCTCAATCTCAAGTGTGTTTTGTTTGTGGACTGTGGACGCACGGAATTGCTCCAAATGGTCATTTATGACGTGGCATTTCAGTTAGGCTTATGAGTTCAGTTACTCATGTAGATGGTCACTGATCACTAATAACCATTTCAAGTCTATAATATCCAAAAGCATAGTTAGTTTATAAGATCAGAAAGTAAAATGGAAAATACAACAGAAGGTCCATTAAAACGGCCTTCAGGAACACAACCCTCGTTTCATTCACGTCTCTGTTCTAAAAGCCAAGAATCTAAATATTTAAAACTGGGCCTCGCTACTAAGAAAATATTGCCATGAACTGCTTAGTGATGTATCAGGAGAATCACAAAAAACTGCTTTAGGTTATCGAGCATAAGTGGCAAACAGCGAATGTATTGCAGATGAAGAAAAGATGAAACATTTTGAACACTAGACTAGCCCTTTAAATGCATCTTGAAGTCTTGTGATTTTACAATTCTTCTGTCCTATTTGAACAGTGAAAAATAAGCAAATCGATTTCCCTAAGCAAATAAACTGATTACATGCAATTTTATCAAGGTGTGTATGACCAAAATATTACACTCACACAAAGTAATTTATAAAAGAAGTAAAAAAGAATGCAGATCTAAACAACGACAATATTCATTTTATAAATTCTTCACTTCAGTGGCTAGATATGACATTTTCCCCTAATATTTTCAGGGTTACCTGGTCTCTATTTGAGAAAATATGATTTCCAGTGCACACAGACTAGCCAGTCTGCCGAGTGCACTGTTGTTACTCCTTTTTATTTATGTTTTTAACCATTTCTGACTTTGTGAAAAATACTATAATGATTACAGAATCGAGGTTGACATTAAGTATCTGTTTATTTTACAGGTTTATTTTTTTTAAGTTAACATTTTTTCATATTGATTGATTTTCAAATTACTTGTCTAATTTAGTAAATGTTATGTAAAATAAAATAAAAAATGCAGCATGTGTTTGTTATCTACAAGTTTTAAAGGAAATAGTGTGATATATAAGTCAGCTTTATATCAGCCATCGGTAACCCTGCTAAAATATCGGCCCCCCAAAAATAAATCCATAATGGTCGACGACGACCAAAACTGACCCTATGCAGCACTGTCCTAAAACATGACACTACGTCAATGACATCGTTACAGCAACATTTATGCAACGACCCAGATATGATAGTGTGCCCATAAATAATAAGAATCTCAAGAATTTATCATTAATTGTGTTCAAGCACAATTCAAATGCCTGAGGTAATTACTCATTGACGCTTACTTAACGCTGACTTTTTCTCTTTTTTTTTTTTTTTTTTTTTTTTTTTTAGAAATCAGAGTTAAAGAAACCTATGCCCTAAATCACATCAGTATGAAACCATCCAGTAACGTTAAGCATCTAGCAGTCTGTCAGATTCCTCCACCACTTGTTTGTCCTGACGCAATGATCAGGACTAGCATCAAGTGTCATCTAGCTGTCTATTAAGCTAAAATGTAGGTGACAAACTCCATTTGAGTTGTTTAGAACTGTAATTGTCAGCATGTTTTACTCGCGTAGAGACAGAACAAAGTTTTTCCAGTGCGTCAGATCATCATGTAACGTTAATCATTATTACCAACGCGCCGCAATCACTGCAAACCTGAGCGCATCTCTTGCAAAAGTAGCACTCGCTTGGTTTACAGCCTCAGCTACGAGTGCTATAAACTTTTACGGTATTTCTCAACCAGGAGAAGCCGCAGTCGCGTGTACGCATTTAGTAGTTGGTGCTCAGCTTCAACAGATGACCAACAGCCACCGCAGACACTTCAGCACACATCAACTCCAAAAACAGCGCGTATCAGCATTCCTTCGCAACGCTTCGCCCACTCACCTGTACGTAGTTACTTTCGCAGTATTCGGCGACTCTGTCGAGGTTGGTGAAACTGTCCAGTAACGCTCTGCGACCCGCTGGAATTTCCTCTTCCAGCAGCATCTGCAGCTCCGCCATCTTTACATCTCTCTCTCTCTCACTCACTGACTCCACGCGCGCGCCCGCCCGCACAGCTCAACTACTAGCGACAGGAAGTGCAGCGGCTTCACCTCCCGCTGAGTTTTGGGAAAAGCAGGGAAGCACGTTTCCGAATCCTACTATGGTAAAGAGTTTGTCCTAGTGATATTTATCCTAGTGATGTTGCGTTATTATATTATATTATATTATATTATGTTATCAGATCATATAATTTAATATATGGACAATAATTTTGATAGCTAAATTAACCTCTAAGACCCTCTAAGGATATGATATATGATATGATAATATAATATCATATTTAATATAATAGCATAGCATGTTCAATAACTATCTTATTTACATATAAATGTGAGAAAATATGGACATTTAAGAGTTTCACAATATTTACAATAGCTAAATTAACCAACGATCTGGCATGATATTATCAATGTTTTTTTTAATGTTATTCGTACATTTTTCAAAATGATATCTTTAATTTATTCATAAGCTGAACATAAATAACAAATCTGTATTACTAAGCATTTTTCTTTTATTTTTCTTGTTTTACTGTTTTTATTTAAATGGATAGATCACCCAATGTTCTGTTGAACACAAAATAAGATATTTTGGATTCAGGATTTCAGGAGGGGGGGTTAACTATCCCTTTAAATAATGCCAAATGCCAAACGTTTCTTGTTTAAAATGACTTATCACACATAATGAGAATACCTGTAAGAATGCATTACACTTCATCAACTGAATGAAATGTGCCTACACTCTTAAAAATAAAGGTTCTTTATTGGCATATATGATTCCATGAAGAATCTTTAACATACACGGACCTTTCCATTGCACTAAAAGGTTCTTTAGTGGAAAATATTCTTTATATTAACTTGTTCTTCACACACACACACATGGTTATTTTAAGAAGTGTTCACTGAAAGGTTCTTCGGGGAGCCTAAAATGGTTCTTCCCCAGATAGCAAAAAATATCGGCACGGCTTCTTTTTGCCGCCGGCCCCAAACTGTCGGCTATAGGTGCGCCCCGCTGGCGGAGAAGAAACGTTTGCCGCCGAATACGTCACTCCCATTTCTTGCGAGATGCCGCCGGCGAACAGCCGCCGGGCCGCCGACTTCATTCTCTCAGGCGGTTGCCGCCGTCTAAATGAACCGCGGCCGGCTGGCGGCAAGCCGCTTTGAAATCGACCAGCCATGTCATTGGCATGAGTGGAACTGACAGCATTTTAACTTCCACATTTAAAGCGATTATAATTATTATGTGAATTATATCAAATTTTTAGGTACCAAAGTCATAAGGGTTTATAACAGATTTGACTCAGTCTGATTCCATGATAAGGTTTAGGAAAATACATTTAAATTACGTTGAAACTCTGAAGCGATTCAGTGATAGGCCTATGTAAAATATATAGAATTATTTTATTCACTTAAGGTGACAATTCATTTCTTTGATTTATGCACAATTGAGATGCACAAATAGTCCAAAAAGAATTCCTTTTGTAAAACTTACTTGGCAATAAATATCTAGCTGATTCTGATTAGGTTTTAAAATAAATATTTCATTCATGGTATGAACAATTTAGCAGAATAAATGGATGAAGTTAGACTTTTAACCAATGCCTGAAATCAGTGAACAGTGAAAGACATCTGCAACTTGGCCAAAAGCTTGGGTATGCTTTAGATTTTTTTTATTAATTTGCAACCATGGTAATATTTATAATAAATATGAAAATCCCTGTTTTGACCTGAAAGATAAAGTGAAATATTTAGAAATATTTTGTCTCTCTGTCACCCCAGGAAATTTCGTTTATGTCTTTCATTTTTTTACAAGTTCGATTTTTTTATTTATTTTACCTTTTACAGGTATAAGGGATTAATTTGCAATTGCGAGTTTTGCAATCTGTACAAATGTTTAAGAAAGTATTAAAGCACAAACAGAGAAGTACCTCCACCGGCCGAGAGGGGCAGTACCTAAAAAACGGAAGCAGATTTACCAACACAACAGTGGCCACTCGTCACACGATTTCAGTATTTGGAGAGGATATCCTATCTAGTCATTGACTACGATCTTTAAAGTAAGTACATTTTTCCTTTTTGTGTAACGCAATATTATGTTCATGTTTTACATTTTTAGTTCATCTTTTTCAAATATGTTCTTGCCTTACTAGTCAAGCTAGTAAGTTAGCCTGTTTACAAAGTTTGCGTCATGTTTCTGACATAGCTAATGTTAGTTAGGCTAACGTTACTTAGTTTCTTCCTGGCGTTAGTTTTTTCTTTTCTTCTTTTAACTATATTTACGTATGTTTATGCAAGTGTGAGTACTACAGTATGTGGTTTAAGATAGTATTGGTCAGTCGAATAATTAACTAACTTACGTAACTAAATCCTGAAGGACAATTCTCCCGCCCACGTGGGAATGGTAACGTTAGCAACATCTTTACGACAAGAAAGACTGATCAGTATAACTTGTGTTGTTTTCTAACTAAACATAATGATGTTTTGTTTGATTCGACAACCATGCTGCTAGTCTAGTTTAACTTACAGTGTTCGTTAACACATGCTGCTTCGCCTTTTTAACTCACTGAATTCAAGCATGTTCGACATGTTGAAATGTATCTAGCTACAGTAGATCGCCAAAGCTTTACATCTAGAAAGAAAGCTTTACTTCTAGAAAGTTTAACTTTTGGTGTTTTCTTACAAAAATAACGATGTATGTGTGTGTGTATATGTATATATGTGTGTATATGTAAATGATTGTGTTTTTCTGAACATGGTTTTCTGTTGATCCACTTGTGAAAATGACTCGTTTTTTGAAGGGGTGAGCATTTTAATGTTATTGATTTTGCCTGGAAATTAATCAAAAAGTATACTTTATGCAAAATGTTCTTCTATTTTAGATGGTTCACATTGTTCAGTTTATCAACGAGGAGGATCTGCCATTTGCAGTGGTTCCGCAAGAGAGCATGTGCCATTGGCCCCCATTTAACCTCGGCAAAAAGACGAAGGCAACAATTTAGCCATCCTCTGCACACCTCCACACAGCACCTGGGAGAAACATCATTTTAAGTTCGTGAAGGGAGCAGGTAAATGGGTCTGACTTGTGTATTTGATTTTCCTGTATTTCATCTGTGTAATTTATTTTCTGTTTATTGTGGATAACTGACTCTTTCATTCATTATTCCCTACTCTAGAATCTTGGAAGTCTCAAGAAAAAAAAACTCTAGAAAGATGCATCGATTCCAGAAAACCAGGAAAATGCTGAACTGGTATGTAAAATCTATTGCTGTGATGCTGGATTTGTGATCCTGCCACTAAACTATACCATTTGTTAGATTTTCAAATTTCTGTTTCCTCTTTCTCACAACCAGGTTTCTCCCCAGTAATCCAGACTCCACTTCACAGAGCCAAGAGTTTGAGTACAAGTAAGTGATGTTATTTGTGAAGTTTTTTTGTCTTGGAAACTATTGCTTCTATTTGAAGTCGGCATGAACCGGAAGTTACAAACGACTTTTCTCCAGTGTTGTGACGTATTTAAAAATGAAACGGTATATTGAACGGAGGGCAGGGTTTTACTCTAGCGCTCCTGTTCTCCATCTCTGCTCATAGCACGGTTTGAGGGGAGTTGCCACGCCCTCGCGCCATAGCACAAGACCGGAAGAGAAGAGAAGTCGTTTCGAGGGGGGAGGGAAGGGTAACGTATTTGATTAAAGATTATAAGGCTACATGAATTTTAAAAGAATAATGAAGTGCACAGATAAATCATTTATAATAAACACTACAATATTACATATAAAAATACGAATTGTAAAATCTTACTTCAAGAGCAGGTGAAGCAAGTTCAACAAACAATGTTGAAGACGTTTGCTTGCACTGAGCAATTAGGTACAACTTGCAAACAGCACCTGTGGTTGTCGGTTTAATTCCCACTGGGGCTACCTGTACATGTAGTAGACCTAGATATAAAGTAAAATTTAACATTGTATACTGCATATATTACAGTCTGAATCCTTAGCCTTTCACATTTTTTATTTATTTATGAGAAGCTTCAGAGAAATGTAATTTGTAACACTTTTTTGGATTTTCAGCTTGGTGTAGGGGATAAAGCATGTTTTAGAGACATGTTCCTGAAGACCATTGTTCAAAGTAAGTTGGATATTTTTTTTAGATTTAAGTAGATGTGTATGTCCTATTGTCCTCATGCAATTCAAATTAAATGACAGATCTGTATTTTCTATATTAGCCATCCGGAAGGACCCGGCAACCCAGGATGCACTGATGAGGCGGTCCAGGTTAACGTTACGCGTTACCTGAAAGGAGCATCTGACCGTGAAGGCAGAAAAAGGCGCCGCACAGCTGAGAGGGACCCACAGCCGAACACTTAAAACTAGACTGACTACTGACACCCCAGAATCACTGACAACTGGAATCCTTTCTTTATCTTGCAGTCAGTAGAATCAAGACCCCTAAAGAAGTCAGAAGTGTCAGACTACACTCACTCACTGTGGAAATTACTTTCTTTTTTTCTTTTTCAAATAAAGCTTGTAAATCCTTGTGCCACAGCATTGCCACAGCATTGCCGTTATAATGGCCTATTCTACTCCAGAGCTTTACTATAAATTACTACCACTTATCATATTGTTAGAAATGGTTTGTAAATGTAGTTATACTTTTATTTATTTGGTATCTTGCACATTATTTGGTATCAAATATCCTCTTTACTTGTCATAATGTTTACTGGTAATTTTTTACCCTAGAGCTGTCCTTTTTATATGAACACTTATTGTAAGTGTTGTAATTTGCTTGTAAGGCTGTTTAACCAAAATTGAATTGGAAACCTGCATGTTAGTATATTGATTTATTTATTTTTCTGTTATGTTTCAGTGATCTGAAACATCTTGTTTAAATGACAGTTACTGTACTTTGAAATGTAGAATAAAAATGCCAATTGTAAATTTGTCTGGTTTGAGCAATCATTATTCTTGATAAACTGCATGCTATAAATAAATAAATAAAATATA